TAGAAAGTCCTCAAATAATGTAGTTTTGTTCAACATTGTTTCATTACAACATTGAAGAGAAGCAAAATCCAGGATCACTATCTTGTGTAGAGTTGTATATTCTCCCAATATCTGTCTGGGTTTCCTCCAGTACTCTGGTTTCCTCCAACATCCTAAAGATGTGCATGTTAGGTGAATTGGTGTGTAATTGTCCAAGTCTGAGTGGGTATGACCCTCTGAAAATGGCATCTATCAAAGTCCCAGTTTCCAAGAACCTATTGACTACATTAAGAGTGGATTTACTGTATATTAGAATTGAATATATAAGTAAACAAATTTTAAATACTGAGAACAAGGTTTCTAATTGTTAAAGAAGAGGGTTATAAGAAAAGGAGAAAGTCTAGATGAATTCTTGTGCTATTGGATTGCAATCAGACGTGTAAGTATGAACTGATTATCATATATATATATACACACATACACACACACAGATCACAGATAGGTATGGAATTGTAGATATGTGTATGTGCATGGATTAGTATACATAAATATACTGTTTTGTGGGAAGGCCTCAAAGTAATGACATTCAAGTAGCAAAGAGCATGCTTACTGTCCTGATCTTGGACTCTACAAATCTTCAATAAAAGCAAGCAACCAGGGCTCTTCAAAGAACTGGTTGATTCCCAGAGCTGAGGTAGGAGAAATGCAAGATGTTCCTGGAACATCGTTAATGCCAAAAAACAAAGAAGTGCTTAGAAAAGGTGCATTGTACCAATGTTACTTTCTTGTTTCTGATAAATGGTTGTGTAAGTGTTAACATTAGGAGAAGATCGATAAAAAGTATACATGAACTCTGCTATTTTTGCAAGTTTTCTGTAAAATCATTTTAAAATAAAAAGTTTCTTAAATTTACTTTTCTCTCATGGTGAGAAAAGGGAAAAAGAAATAGTGCTAGTCAGAAGATAATGGAGTAACATTTACAAGAAAAAACTACCACGTTAGAAAACAATCCTAACAAAAATATCTTTCAAAATGAAAGCAAAATAAAGACATATTTTAGATGAACAAAAGCTGGGAGAATTTCTTGCTGGCATTAAAAATTTTCAAGGAAGTTTTTCAGGCCGAAGAAAATTATTTCAGATAGAAACTCAAATTTACACAAAGCATGAAGAGGATAAGAAATGGTTAAAATGTGAAAAAGGAAAATTTTTTTTCCTCACATTTCAATTTATTTCAAAGACAATGGAATGTTTAAAGCAAAAATATTAATGTTTTAAAAAGTAAAATTTAGACGTATAACAAGGAGAAGTACGGCTTTTTAAAAGCCCAATAATAGGAGGGAGAAAATAGAAGTATACTACTGTAAAGTTCTAGTATTTATATAAGAAGCAATATAAAATTGTTTGAAGGTAGATGGTGGTGTTAAAGATGTATATTATAAGCCCTAGCACAACCATTAAAAAAAAATGTAGTACATCTAATAAGCTACTAATAAAACACTCAAGTGGCTATATTAATATTAGACAAAGTATATTTCAGAGCAAGGGTTATATTTTAAGGAATAAAGGGTTTTTTGACAATGATAAATGTGTCCATTTGTCATATTTATATATTTAACCAGAGGCCCGGAGCATGCAATTAATGCACTGTAGGGTCCCGTGGCTGCTGGCTGCCGGCCAAGTACTTCCTCCCTTCCCCCGGCCACCTACTGCTGCTGGGGCCTTCCTCCCTCCCTCTGGCTGGCCCCGCTCCCTGGCTGAACTCCTCAACGAGAGGACAATTTGCATACTACACTTTTATTATCTGTATAATAAAAACCCAGTGTATTGATGGGGCCCCGTGGCGCCGGCAAAACTTGACACTGGGTCCCATGGTGCGCCGAGTCTGGGTCTCGTGCAATTTTGTGCGCTGGGCCTCTAGTATAGGATAACAGAGTTTCAAAATACTTGAAGCAAAAACTGACAGAGTTGGAAAGAGAAATAGGCAATCCACAATTACATTTGGATATTTTACCATTCTTCTTTAGTAGTTGATAGAGTATGTGGACATGTATTAAAGTAATTAACTCTTGCCCTAACCGAGTGGTCTGCAAACTGCGGCTCATGAGCCACATGTGGCTCTTTGGCTCCTTGAATGTGGCTCTTCGACAAAATACCATGGCCTGGGTGAGTCTATTTTAAAGAAGTAATGTTAGAAGAAGTTTAAGTTTAAAAATTTTGGCTCTCAAAAGAAACTTCAATCGTTGCATTGTTGATATTTGGCTTTGTTGACTAATGATTTGCCGACCACTGCCCTAGCCAGTTTGATTCAGTGGATAGAGCATTGGCCTGTGGACTGAAGAGTCCAGGGCTCAACTCTGGTCAAGGGCATGATCCTTGGTCCTGGTTGGGGTGTGCATGTGAAGCAACCAATTGATGTGTCTCTTTCATGTCAATGTTTCTTTCCCTTGACCTTCCACTATCTAAAAATCAGTGGAAAAATATTCTCTGGTGAGATTAACAAAAAGAAAAAAGAAATTGACTCGTAATTAAAATTTTTCTGAATAAAACCTCAAGACCCAGATGGCCTTTGCATTTTGGGTTCCAGTGTTGCTGTTAAGAAGTATTGAGGCTTTCAGAATTGTCATTCTTGATTGTTTAATTTAGTTTGTTTCATTAGCCTAATTTCTTATTCCTCATGTCTTAAAATTTCATGATGATATTACTTGGTATAGATTTTACTTTATACATGCATACGAAATTCATGCATGGTAAGGTTCCTAGGCCTTGGCAGCAATCTGGGATGATCTGTGGGGCAACTGGTAGGGCAATATGGGAACCCCCTCTGGCACCTGCCTTGGCTGGCTTGGGGCCTGTGGGCTGGGGGTAGTCCTGCACTGAGTGTCTGTACCCTGGTGGTCAGTGTGCATCATAGCGACCAGTTTTTCCACCAGTTGTTCTGCTATTCGGTCAATTTGCATATTAGGCTTTAATTACATAGGATAGGATGCAGTGGGTCTTTCAGTCTAAACTATTATTCTTTTTGTTGTTAAGTTTTCTTGCATAATTTTAAAGTTACTTTCTGTTCTTTTCATGAGGGTGAAGTATCTATATGTCTTCTCTGGTACCCTTTTACTTTCTCTGGAAAACATCATTTAGCTGTTTATTCAACAAATATTTTATTTTTTAAAATATATTTTATTAATTTTTTACAGAGCAGAAGGGAGAGGAATAGAGAGTTAGAAACATCAATGAGAGAGAAACATCAGTTTGCTGCCTCCTGCACACCTCCTACTGGGGATGTGCCCACAACCAAGGTACATGCCCTTGACTGGACTCGAACCTGGACCTTTCAGTCCATAGGCTGATGCTTTATCCACTGAACCAAACCGATTAGGGCAACAAATATTTTTTAAATGCCTGCTTATATGTCAGGTATAGCTCTAAGAACTGGGAATTTAACTGAATTAAAGTGACAAAAATCCCTACTCTTATGAATCTTCTATTTTGGCAAAGGGGGGGCAGATAATGAACAACTGGAATAGGTAAATATATACAGTATATTTGAGGAACGTTAAAGATAAAAAGTAAGGAAGAGAGATAAGGAAGTATTAACAGACATTGGACATGTGGTTGGGGACATGGGGAAATATTACAGCTAGTGAAGGGGAACTAGGGGTAGGAGCCATGATAGAGGAGAGTATTCCAGGTTGGGGGAATTAGTATAAGCAAAGGCCTTCAGGTAGGAACCTGCCTGTTCTATGTGTGGAACAACAAGGAAGCCAATACAGCTAGCTAGATCAGAGCAAGATGGCATTAAAAGTGATGGGGGCAAGGTGAAAAGGTGGGGGGAGGGCAAAATGTGTAGGGCTTTATTGACTATTTTAGCACTTTTGCTAATCTTTGTGAAGATGGGATTTGAGAGAGCCAATAAGCAGTTGGGTATCTTAAGTTTTAAGATACCCAACTGCTCAGAGAAGAGAAGATCTGGGCTGTGATACAAATTTGAGAATTATCAGTGTATGTGTAGAATTTAAAGCCTTGAAATTTGGGGAAATTAAGGGAATCAGATAGAAAAGAGTTCACTGCAATTTTTATTTTATTTACGAATGGTTTTTAGAGAGAGAGGATACATATGAATTCATTGGTTAATTCTTGTATGTGCCCTCACCTAAGATGGAGCCCGAAGCCTTGGTGTATCAGGATGACCTGGACAGGGCTCATTGCAATTTCTAGAAAAGGTCAGAGTGATGAGGAGAAACCAGTAATGAATAGCCATAGAGGTAGACACACCAAGAGAATTTTTGTGCAGAAAAGAATGAGGAATTGTTTCAACTACTGCTAATTAGTTTGAAGATAGACAAGGTGAGATGGAGAGGGAAACTCATGGAGTCTTGGATGAGGTTTATATCTTAAACAGGTAGATGTATATCTTAAAATCAGGCAAGTAGGCATGGTCTGAGGCTGTTAACATTGTAATTTGAGGTTTATAAATATCAGACAAGTGGCCCTTTTTATCTTGGGTATGGCAAACATAATGGGGCCAAGCTGGAGATTTTGGTTGGTTGAATAGCAGATTCTGTGGGACCTGCAGTACTTTTGCTTCGTGTATTTTAATGCTCTGTATTATTAAATGCATATGCCTTAATTAATTGATCCCTTTGTCATTATGAAATGACCCTTTTTATCCCTTATGGTTTTCTTTTGCTCTGCAAGCTAGGAAGGCTATGTTTTCCCCCCGTAAGAAACGTTTTATTCCTTTGCAATAGATATTTCAAATTGTACTTTTTAAAAGTTTCCTAATTGTAAGAACTCATTCTTTCTCTATAGCTATTTCTTCTACCATCTTGGATCTTATATATTAACACTCAGGTTTAAAATTTGATACATTTGCTCAGAATTGAGTATTTAGTGACTATCTAGAGCCAAACATACACAAACATATTTTAAAAATACGTTTTACAATAGTCCAGTTAATTTTAGTATAGCTCAGTACAGAGCCAGATACAATTTACCTTTTTTTTTTTCTTTTCTATTTTGTAGGAATAGACTTTAAGATCAAAACTGTTGAATTACAAGGAAAGAAGATCAAGCTACAGATATGGTAAGTGACGCTAATTTACTCACATGATGTAGTAGAATTCCAAGTCTGAAGTGAAGGTCTTGTCACCTATTTAGATTCTGTGAGACTTCCCTTTCTAAAGCCAGCAATCGGGTGACTTCCTTTCAGTGAAGTAAAAAAATTATTGCCATGGATTTTGGAGTCCATGAGATCTAGCTGAGTATTTTGCCTTTTCTATTTACCGTATGAACTTCATTCAGCAAGTTACATACCCATTATGAACTTCTTATGTCTTCATATGGAAAATGGATTTTCAAAAGATTGTTATAAGGATTTCATGAAATAATCTGTATAAAGCCTCTAGCATAATACTTTGCTCACACTCAATATAAAAAATTAATATAATCCTTTTGAATACTTTGACAGACTTATGCTGAAATATTTATTTCCTTTAACGTGTAACTTTATAGGCATTATTTTTATTTAATTCTTATAGCCCCCCATAGAAGTATAATAAAAAAAATTTTATTTGTAACAAGTATGAATCACAGACTTTAAAATTATAATAGTAATTTTCATTTAATATTATTTTACATGTGTATTTTAACCTATTAAATACAATTTCTCTCTGAAATATGACATATAATAAACTGTATATTCAAATGTGTGGATTGGTAAGTTATAATGTGTATAAATCTGTGAAGACATATCACAATCAAGGTAATGAACATACTCATCAAAAGTTTTCTCAGCCTCTGTAATCTCTCTTCCTTCCCAATCCCTGTTCCCCAGGCAACCACTCCTCTGCTCTCTGTCACTATAGATTAGTTTCCATTTTCCAGTACTGTACATAAATTCAGTCATATAGTGTTCTTTTGTTTGTTTGTTTTTCCAACTTTTGGTGGGGAATTTATATGGCTTCTTTTACTCAGTATGATTATTTTGAAAATTATTCATGATTTTATTATGTGTATCAATAAGTTCATTACTTTTTATTTCTGATAGTGTTCCATTTTTGGTGTATCACAATTTGTTTATTCACCATAAAACTGCTATATATCTCTGTATAAGCATATGCTTTATTTTCTCTTGGATTGTTTTTATTTTACAGATAATGAAAAAGGCATTTTGACATAATTTAACCAAGGTCTTATAGGCTGAAAATGTCAGGAGGCTTGGCTCTGCTCCAGGCCACAAAGTTGCAATTGTAGAAGATAAATAAATTCCAGATAGCAGGACCTCCGCTTGGGTCACCAGGGGGCGTGGCCAGCCTGCAAAGTGAATTTTGTGCACCGGGCCTCTAGTGTGTAGATATATATATATATATATATATATATATATATATATACACACACACACACACACACACACACATACATTGTGTGTGTGTATATTTAACACAGCAATAATTTATTCTGAAATGTTTATTTAATTTCTGTTGAGACACAATTCATATCTCATTGATGTCTTATTTTTTTCTTTATTCAAATGATCTTCCTTCTTGTTTTCTTCCCAGGAGACTTGTTTATCTGTTGCATAAGAATGGGGGATGGGTCTCACCCTGGTAACGCACATGTCTATACGCCTAAAATTAGCTTGTTTGGCTGATAAAGAAGTATCTGCAACTTTAAAAACCCCAGATCTCTAGAAAGTTCCACTATATTTTCTATGGAATAGCAGGTTCTGTCAGGAAAACAGCCATAGTTGCTTCAGGTTAGGCTCCCCCCCCCCCCTTTTTTTTTTTTTTTTAAGGAGGGGTGGTCAGAAATGCTTGCCCCAGTCACTAAAAATTGTTAGTGTCCCATTGTAGAAGATTTAACTGTTTACCTTCGTAAGGTGCCAGAGACTTTGGAGTCATCTTTGATTCCATACCCTTTAACCCCAACACCCAATTTAGCAAACCTCTTAAAATTTATCTAGAATCCATAGATAAATTTCCATTGTTACCCACCCCAGTAGAAGCTACTACCCTATTTCCCCTAAAATAAGACAGTGTCTTATATTAATTTTTTCTCCCAAAGTTGCGGTAGGTCTTATTTTCAGGGGATGTCTTATCTTTCCATGTGCTAGGTCTTATTTTCAGAGAATGTCTTATTTTGGGGGAAACACGGTATTCTTTGAATCATTGAAACAGGTCCTAATTCCCTTTTGCCTTCTTCCAGTAATTTTTTCACAGAACAGCCAGAGTAATAGCCATTTCAAGTCTAAATCTGGTCATCATGGTTGTCATTCCTTCTCTTATTTATAAACGTTTTAAATTTCCATTTCATTTCAAATGAAAGTCCAAATTTCAAATCCAAATTTCTTAATACAGTTTACAGAGTGGGTCCTGCCCACCATTCTGACTTCATTTTGTGCTCCTTTGGATATATAGTTTTGCCCCAGTGTGTCTCCTTTTAAGTCCATGGAAATGGTAAGTTCTTTTCCAATTAGGACTTTTGTACATTCCCTGTAGCCCTCCTTCAACCCCCTAACTTTCCACTTCCTTCCGACTGTAAGTAGGCTGAACATTCTGAGGTGCCACTGCATTCCAGAGGCTTCCCATTTCAACAGAAATACAATCTGAAAACCCCATAATCTGGCTGCTGTCCCTTCCGACCTTGTCTCTCATCAGCTTTGCTCCAGTTACTGTGGCCACTTTTTTCCGCCCTTGGCAATGCCAAGAATGGTTCCACTTCAGGGCCTTTGTATATCCACTGTTCCTTCTGCTCAGAATGCTTTTCATCAGATCTTTGCCCTCCCATCCTCTCATTCATATCTCAATTTATTTGTTTATTTTAATCCTCACCAGAGGATATTTTTTTCATTGCTTTTCAGAGAGAGAGAGAGAGAGCGTGCGAGCGCGCGCGCATACGCGCGCACACAATGTGAGAGAAACATCAGTTGGTTGACTTCTGCACTTGCATCCCAACTCAGGATAGGGGAGCAAACCCAAAACCCAGGTACGTGCCCTTGACCAGAAATGGAACCCACGACCCTTCAGTGTGTGGGTGACACTCACCATGGAGCCACACTGGTCAGGGCAACATTTACCATATTTTATTGATTTTTTTACAGAGAGGAAGAGAGAGGGATAGAGAGTTAGAAACATCGATGAGAGAGAATCATTGATCAGCTGCCTCTTGCACACCCCCTACTGGGGATGTGCCCGCAACCGAAGTACATGCCCTTGACCATAATCGAACCTGGGACCTTTCAGTCTGCAGACCGACGCTCTATCCACTGAGCCAAACTGGTTTCGGCAAAATTTACCATATTTTAAAGATGTATTATTTATTGTCTCCCCCCCCCCCCCATCTCCACTACAAGTTTTTTTGAGGGTGGGGTTCAATCTGTCTAATTTATGGTTACATAACCACCTAGAACAGAGCCTGGCAAATGTAGGCACTCAGTAGATATCTGTTGACTAAATGACTTTCATTAATTTCTGTTCATATTTCTCGCTCACATTAAGTATCACCTTTATAGAGAGGACCACCCTGATCATTCTATCTAGATGACTTCCTCCCTTGTCCTGTTCCGCATCAGGCCACCTGTATCTTGTTGGCATTTGTCACAATTCAGGATTATATATTTATTTACTTGTTTATTCCTACCCCATAGGATTGTAAGCTTTGCAGGACTAGAATCAGGCTTTAGACATTTTTTGTTTTAGACTTTTTTTTTTAATGAAGATAATAATTTAAGCTCAGGGTGTTTTGGATATAGAGAATTATATCTATGAGGAAATCCAGAGCTTGTTAAAATAAAACTCAATCTGAGAATTTTGACATTCTAATTTAAATTGGGAGCTTCTGGCTTACAGAGCAGATTGATGTTGTCTCTGGCCTGTTCCAGTGCTGCAAGTGCCCAGACTAAAAATAACTATCATAATAGCAGCTAGAGTACACAACTTCCCTGGCCCTGTGTGTAGGACTAACAATTAAGGAAATAAGCTATTTTAGTTGCTAAGAGCATATCACTCCTTTTATAATATGTCATTGGGAAAAAATATTCTCTTAGCTGTGTATTGTCATTTTATGTAAGGAGAATTCTATTGTCGTTGGTTTACAATTTCAGAAATGTGATTATTATACATAGACTTAGAAGAAAATTAAGTAGTTTTGTAAAAAACCTGTATTATAGTGACATACAAAAATATTGTGAACATACATAGGCAATGTTTAATTGCTCTTCAGATAGTTCACATCTGTTTTTATTTGAACCAACCTGCTGTCCTTAGACCCGGGTGTATGTGTGTGGGGCAAACCTAAAAATAGTTTGAGGATGAATAAGCAGCTGTGGCTATTTTTAGCCCTGGGCAAAGGGTCACCAGCAGCAGTGGGGCAAGGGCTCTGGAGATTGCCTTAACAATTGGTGTGGGCTGGTATAATGAAGATCCAGGAAAAGGAAAGTTTGAGATCAAGGAGTCAAGGAGCCAAATCATCTTGTAGGGTGGATAGTGATGTTGAAAAGTGTCAAAGTATGAAATGTATAAAAGCTTTAAAAATCTTAATAGGGAGAGCATATAAAAAAGGGGAGATATTTGTGTTTAAGAGATTTTGGAAGATGAAGGAGACAAAATTAAAGAACAGAGTAGTGTGCCATGGATCAAAACAGAAAGTTACTTTGAACTTAAATAGTGATTATTTTTCTTTTCAGGGGCCATTAATGTTTCATTGTCTCATATTAGTTCATAACCAGGATCCTATCTAAAAAAAAAGTAATATGCAAATTAACCATCACTCTGCAACAAAGATGGCAGTGCCCATGGTAGCGCCCATAGCAGCTGGGGTGGGACGCTGGTGGCATCGCCCCAGCAATGTGAGCCCAGGAGGCAAGTGCAACCTGCAAGCAGCACTGTGCAGAGAGCAGAGAACCATGGGGAGTGGGCCGAAGATGTCAGTAGGCCATCCTCGGAGGGTTTCCAGATTGGTGAGGGCTGAGGAATTCTCTCCCTGCACAAATTTCGTGCACTGGGCCTCTAGTTATACTATAAAATCTCCTCTCCTTTGGCTGTTGGTGTAGACTTAGTTGCTTTTGCAGAGTGTTCTTTCTTGGTGGAGAATTTAGTTATAGATTTCACACTGAAGTGTATGTATTATTTGCTAATTGTGTAAGGTGAATGAATGGGGAAGAAAAAAAGCATATAATACATAGTGTTGGGGTGGTGCTCATAGTGAAATGTAGTGTTAGGTCTTCCTAAATTGTTATTACTTATGACAAAAATTGAAGTGAAAGTTTTCTCTTCCTCCTACACTACAGCTGTTTGGCACTGCTGGAAGCCCAGGCCCTATTATACTCTTTGTCTTGGATAAGTACATTTCCAACCTGGTTTTTTAAGTAGGGAATATTAACCCCTTTCTAGGGTTATAGAATAATTAGTTAACTTATACTTTTTACCAGTACAGAAAGGAACTAAACTAGTTCTACTGTGATGAGACACAGTTTTTTTGTTTTTTTCTTGAAAGCATTTATAAATTACACCTGACTTAAGGTACTTTGTAGCTAAATAGGTAAGATTAATAAAACATAAAATAAGAATTTATAATTCAGAAAAATGGAAGATTTAAATATAGTATCTCTAAAGGACAGTTTGTTTACTATGCTTGCTTTTTTAAAATTTACCAATAAACTTTTTTTGGAATATTTTTATTTTTATTTTTTAAAATTAAATTATTATCTGTGTACATATTTTAACATTGTCCCCCCTCCCATACATACCCTCCCTCCCCAGAGTTTTGTGTCCATTGGTTGTACTTATATGCATGTATACAAGTCCTTCGGTTGATCTCTTATCTCCTGCAGATCTTCCTATCCTCCCCACTGTATTTTGACAGTCTACTTGTTGCTTTACTGTCTTTATATCTGTCTTTTGGTTCATCAGTTTATAATGCTCTTTTATATCCATAAATGAGTGAGGTCATGTGGTGTTTCTCTTTCATTGACTGGCTTATTTCACTCAGCATGATGTTTTCCAATTCCATCCAGGTTGCTGCAAATGATGAGAATTCCTTCTTTTTTATGGCAGCATAGTATTCCGTTGTGTAGATGTACCATAGTTTTTTTATCCAATCATTTGCTGACGGGTACCTGGGCTGTTTCCAAATTCTAGCTATTGTAGATTTTGCTGCTATGAACATAGGGGTGCATATATCCTTTCTGATTGGTGTTTCTAGTTTCTTGGGATATATTCCTAGGAGTGGGATTACTGGGTCAAATGGGAGTTCCATTTTCAGTTTTTTAAGGAAACTCCATACTGTTCTCCACAGTGGTTGCACCAGTCTGCATTCCCACCAGCAGTGCACGAGGGTTCCTTTTTCTTCACAACCTCGCCAACACTTGTCATTTGTTGATTTGTTGATGTTGGCTATTCTGACAGGTGTGAGATGGTACCGCATTGTTGTTTTGATTTGCATCTCTCCCTATAAACTTTTTTGAAAAATATATTTTTATTGACTTGGGAGAAGAAGTGAGAGATAGAAACATCAGTGATAAGAGAGAATCATTGATTGTCTGCTTCCTGCAGTGACCCCTACTGGGGATCAAGCCCACAACCTGGTCATGTGCCCTTGACTAGAATTGAACCCAGGACCCCTTCAGTCTGCTGACTGACCCTCTATCCACTGAGCCAAACCAGCTTAGGGCCCTATAAACTTCTTGGCAACCAATGCAACAAAAGGGACAGGGAGGGGGTGTTATCCACAAAAATAAGGTGGGGGCATTATATCAAATACAGGATAAATTTTTCATAGAGTTAGATTTTATAATGATTCTTAATAAATTGATAAAATGTTAAAGGTAATGGAGATAAAAATTGTAGTCTGAGTGTAATTAAATATATAAATGCAAATAAGTGTGTGTGTGTGTGTGTGTGTGTGTGTGTGTGTGTGTGTGTAGCGTCTTACTTGGTTTAACATGATTTAAGGATACAACCTAGAAGAATTGGTAGCATGTCTCTTAGATGGTTTTTATTTTTAATATTTTTTAAATTGTTGACAGTAATATAAAGGTTTCCTGTCTCCCTGGTTCCCCCTCCCCCCATTGGTTTTTCTTAAATGGCATTTCTTTTGGCAGTTTTTTGGATAGGTGTTTCATTACTCCTAACTCTGCTTCTTGCACACACTCCCATTTTCAACACAGTAGACAGAATAATTCTTTATAAACCCAGGCTTTTCTTTGCACAAATGCGCCAATAGATTTCCTATCTCACACAGGGAAAGCAGGAATCCTTGAAGAGGCTGATAAGATCCTACGTAATCTCTAATTCCCCCTCCACACACAAACACGCATCAGTTTTTAATTTATTTTAGAGAGAGAGGAAGGGAGAGGGGGAAAAAGGGGGAAGCTTCGAATGGCTACCTCCCATATACACCGCAACCCAAGTATGTGCCCTGACAGGGAATCAAACCCGTAACCCTTCAGTGTGCAGGACAACGTTCCAACTGAGTCACATGGGCCAGAGCTACTGGGGTTCATTTAAAAATAACTTTAAGAGTTTTATGTGTCACTTTTTTACTGTTTTCCCTTCCACATTTTCATCCAATATAGGTAGGTCATTAATTTTCTTTGACTAACAAGTTTTATATATATGTTTATGGATAACCATAATGGTTAACCATTTAAGAATTATATAAGTGGTGGTTCTGTTTTGTGTTGTGACATATATTTCTGTCTTAACCAAACTATTCTACTGTTGCACCTTTTATAACTAGGGGCCCAGTGCAGGACATTCGTGCATGGGTCGGGGGTGGAAGTTGGGGATTCCTCAACCCGGCCTGCACTCTCTCACAGTCCGGGACCCCTTGGAGGATGTCTACCTGCCGGGGTAGGCCCAATCCCCATGGGGTGTGGGCCTAACCTGGCAGGCAGACACCTCCCCCCCCCACACACACACCTTGGGGTCCTTAGCACTGCCGCCACCGCTACTGGGCTCACCAGCAGTCAGCTAGCTTCTGGCTGAGTGGCACTCCCCCATGAGAGCGCACTGACCATCAGGGGACAGCTCCTGCATTGAGCATCTGCCCCCTGGTGGTCAGTGCATGTCCTAGTGACCAGTCATTCTCCCTCTTGTTATGCTGTTCAGTTGATTTGCATATTAGGTGTTTATTAAATAGGATATAGAATGTAAAAATGCTCAACACAAATTATTGTTTATTTCAGGGATACAGCAGGCCAGGAGCGATTTCACACTATCACAACCTCCTACTACAGAGGAGCAATGGGTATTATGCTAGTATATGACATCACCAATGGTAAAAGTTTTGAAAACATCAGCAAATGGCTTAGAAACATAGATGAGGTAAGATGGAGAAATTGCATAAACCCTTCATAAATACATTTATATACTTGGTTGAGAAGAATAAGTGTTCTAATTGGTCTTTAGGATATATTGTACTATCATTATTGAAGTCATTATTATTGAGCATTTCTTTTTGATGGAGTGAGCCTTTGTTTTTAATTGAGCAGTATAGCGTTTTTGAGACTTTAAAGGGCTCTGTAGAATTTTTAATTAATGATTCTATAGAGTATGCATTATCTAAAAATCATGATCCAGCTTGAATTTAGATTATGCATAAGAGATTTAAGCAAAGGATCTTTTGCCTAGATCCTTTTTTAGTGAGAACATATTTAGAAACTAGATAGCTTTATAAAGTGGGAAAATAATATTTTGACAAGAATATGTCTTTGTTTCTTCTCCTAAGTAATTTAAGAATTTATGTAGGTTTTCATCTTGGGACGGTTTCAGTGTGATTGGTTTAAAACTTTCAGATTATTGAAATGGCACTGTAAATTAAGAAAAAGTCACTTGGGGGGAATATTAAGCCATAATTCATGGTAGGGTGAAAATAAGATTTTTTATTGCATTTCAGCATGCCAATGAAGATGTGGAAAGAATGTTACTAGGAAACAAGTGTGATATGGACGATAAAAGAGTTGTTCCTAAGGGAAAAGGAGAACAGGTAAAAAGTTCTGAATGAAACTAATGTGTTGTCCTTAATTTGTGAAGATGGTATTGCTGGAGGGTGCCCTGAGCTGCTCACATCAATTTTTAAACGCTGTTGGAAACAGTAGCATGTCATTTGAGTGAATTTTTTTCAATACATAACCAGCTCTGTGGCAGTACTATTTTCAGCTTTATTTATACTACAGAGAGGGGAAAAGACAAATTAGTGATCTCAATTTTTAAAATTTAGGACATAAAATAAATTATCAATTGTTTCAGTTTGACAGTGAGTAGCCTGTGACAAGCAGAAACTAAATATTGCTTAAGTCACTTGAAGCTTTTCTTAAGTTTGCTCCTAGAGTAAAATAATTGATCCTTAAATAATGTGGGGTTTAGGGGTACTGACCTTTGACTACTATGCTGAAAATCCACATAAAAACTTGACTACTGTTGTCCCTTAGTATCCACAGGGACTTGGTTCTAGACCCCCTGTGGAAACCAAAATCTGAGGATGCTCAACTCCCTTATATAAAATGGCATAGAATAATGTATACAGTTGGCCCTCTGCATCTGCAGATTCAAAACCCAAGGATATGAAAGGCCAAATATACAGGATGTCCCAAAAAATGTATACATACTTTAATAGCCAGTAGCTCAATTTTTAAAATAAAATGTATTTTAATAAACACAGCCTTTATAATTACTCAAAGTGTGTGCCTACATTTTGGGGGGCATACTCTTATTACCTACTGGAAAATATCCACGTGTAAATGGACCCATATAGTTCAGACCTGAGTTGTTTTAGAGTCAACTGAACTTTTAGAATATCTGAAGTAAACTCTTATAGTGAAGAGAGGGTTCTTTTATTTTGTTTGTTTATTTTTAAAAAGCTTGACTGTTTTAAACTTAACCCATTTAAATATATTTTATATAGCCTAGTTGAAACTGCTAGCATAATATTACTATTTCCTCTAAGTCATGAGTGGGCAGTCTGGTACTTGTTAATTTTATGATGACATTTTGCTTCTATTTCAGATTGCAAAGGAGCATGGTATTAGATTTTTTGAGACTAGTGCAAAAGCAAATATAAACATTGAAAAGGCCTTTCTCACATTAGCTGAAGATATCCTCCGAAAGGTAAGCTACTATTTTTACCTACTGCTAGGGTGCCCCATTCCATAGTTAAATACTTAGTTTACATATAAAAATTGGGCTTGGGTGTTACTGTTTCAAAGCATTTACGCATTACCAGTAACTAATCCTCCAAAGTGAAGTAAGGAAGTGGAAGAACAGAGCCATCTAGAAATCTGTAGAATCTAGTCAGTTCGGTTAATATTCTGAACACATACTCTTAGTCTCTAGTTTCTAATTTTCTACTCCTTTTTTTCCCTTTTTTGTCTAATTATGTGGTGGCTTTCTTTTTACTTTTGGATTCATTTCTCTTATACATCTTTCTCATTTCCATAGATTTTTTTTTTTAAATTTAAGGTAAGCGGCAATACTGTATTCTGAAGTTAATTGCTACAGAATCACAATTCTTCTGTATAGTCATTCTCAGACATGCCAATAAAGGGCATGCATATATTATATACTGAATAAACAGACTAAATCTTCCCCCAAGTTTCATTAGGGAATCATTTCAATCTGTGATGTAAAAAATAATAATGACTAGATTTGGTTATGAGACTTGAATTCTCTATTCAGTTTGTGGTATATTTATATACAAATAAAATTAGAAAAGATCTGACACAAATCCTAAAGGATAAACAGACATTGTATAGGAGAAAGTTTCATTGCTTCTGGTAACCTTTCGGTTTTTTACTTGAAATATTAATATTTTTTAAACGCCAACCCAAAGATATCATTACACACACACACACACACACACACACACACACACACGTGTATATATAAAAAATAGAGGTGGTATATTAAATAAAAATCTAGTAAAATTTCTGAGAAACCAAGCAACTTAAATTTTTTGGAGTGAAATGTTATGTGTTAACTGTGATTGAGTGTTGAGACTGCATAGTATAGTTGTCAGTTATTGCCATTCAGGATGACTGCAAAACAAAAGTTGTGCCCTTTCACTTTTGCCAGCATCCTGCATATTACGTTTGATAGTTAATATATATTGAGTAATAGAAAGTTAAGTTAGGATATAATATATGTAGTGTGATCTTATTTTTCAAAATTATGTATGATACCAAATGCACATGTATGCATGAACACACACATCTTTGGTTGTGTTTGGCAAATAAATCTGGAAGGATAGTGAGTACTCCAAAGGAGTAAGAGGAGGGGGATATAGGACAGAATCACTACGTGGTAGAAGGTACTTTCTATTTCAGAGATAGGTGAGCAGTGAAAAATTATTCCAGTATTTACAGAACTTCCCACAAAACTTGTTGAAATACCCTTGTCTCTTTCTGGATGTTTTTATTTCTTTCTGTTCCTACTGTGTTCCCTGATCTCATTAATCTTTGCATATTTTAAAAATTAGTGCTGCCCTGGGTCATGTGGCTCAGTTGGGCGCTGGCCTGTTCATCAAAAAGGCCACCAGTTTGATTCCCATTCAGGACACATACCAGCTTGTGATTTTGACCCCCAGTCAGGCGAGTACAGGAGGCAACTGATCGGTGTTTCTCTTTCATATTGATGTTTCTCTCTCAAATCAATAAAACATATTAAAGAAAAAAATACAGACTAGTGCTATATAGTCATGATATAATCTGTGTCCCCATGAGGTAAATCTTCCTTATTATATTAAAGGTTAAAAAGTATGGATGCACCAATAAAGACAACTCTCAGTTTAACATCTTCCCCATGTAGGCAGGCCCAAATATGAGGTAGCATTCATTATTTTCATACACTTTAAATCTGGTAATATGAGTTAAAACATCAAACGTAAACTTGCTTAACAAATTAGATGTGATATACAGTAGTGATTTTTAAAAATATATTTTATTGACTTCAGAGAGGAAAGGATAGGGAGAGAGAGAGAGAGAGAAACATCAATGATTATAGAGAATCTTGATTGGCTGCTTCCTGCATGCCCTGTACTAGGGATGGAGCCCATAACTCTGTACATGTGTCCTGGCTGAGAATCAAACTGTGACCTGATTCATAGGTTGATGCTCAATCTCTGAGCCCCTCTGGCTGGGCTGCAGTAGTGATTTTGACAAGCAACTTTCTGTGCAGTGTTTTCTCTCCTGAGTTTGTGAAAGAAAAGTCGTACCAGTCTTAATACAAGCTCCAGTCCTCAAAGGCAGGTAACTACACAGAAAAGGGTTGTTTTACTTTCCTGAAGTTAGGCCTGACCTAACATTGGTTTAATGCATATGCTTGATGATAATGCTTTTTAAGTCCTAAGTACTCAGGGCTCTAGACTAGAAGATGATAAACCTTTCTGCAAAGTAGTTAGTGGAGAGAAGAGTTCAGAAGTTTTATAAAGGAGTGCGGGGAGGCCTCCAGGCATTCACAGCTTGGAGAAAGCAGGCAAAACGAAGGCTGACAAGAAAGCTCCCAGGTCTTTAGTTTGCACGGGGCTCATGACTGTAATTGCATTTCTTTACATTTATGAGAGTGTTTCTGTTGATCTTGCTTTATCTGTGGTACTGTTTTTTTCACGGGTGACTTTCCTTGTGTGTTTGTTCCAGACCCCTGTAAAAGAGCCCAACAGTGAAAATGTAGATATCAACAGTGGAGGAGGCGTGACAGGCTGGAAGAGCAAATGCTGCTGAGCGTTCTCCTGTTCCATCAGTTGCCATCCACCACCCTGTTTTCTCTTCTTGCTGCAAAATAAACCACTCTGTCCATTTTTAACTCTAAACAGATATTTTTGTTCCTCATCTTAACTATCCAATCCACCTGTCCTATTTGTTCTTTCATCTGTAACTGCTTGCTGACTTTATAATTTTCTTCAAACAAAAAAAAAATGTATAGAAAAATCATGTCTGTGACTTCATTTTTAAATGTACTTACTCAGCTCACCACTGCATTTCAGTTGTATTATAGTCCAATTCTTGTCAACATTAAAACTTATAGCAATCATTTCAACTCTATTCTGCAAAATGTATAAGAATAAACATTAGAATTAACAATTTTATTTTGTACAACAGTGGAATTTTCTGTCACGGATAATGTGCTTGAGTCCCTATAATCTATAGACATGTAATACAAAAGAAACAAACAAAAGCCAGGAAAACACTCATTTTCGCCTTGAATATGTAAATGGGTTAATTTTGTCCTGTGCCTTATGTGGAAAGGAACTTCTTTGGTTTTTCCTTTTTTGTTTCTATGGAAGCATGTGCAGGAGTTATCATCCCAACATAAACATTAAGATATTTGTGGTTTGCTTGGCTGTAATTTTCAAAGTAATCGATTGAGGACAAAGGATAATGCAGAAGTAATAGCTTTGGTTTGCTGAATCTCATTTTAAGTGGCCTTTATTCCTGCCACCCGTTCTCAGTTCTTCTCTCCTGGCCACTTTTCCTTGTTTGTCTTCCTGCATGCTCCTTTATTTGCTTCTCACTCCCCCATCCCTCATGGTATGAGTTATTTAAAAATGAAAGGGGCAAACTAATAGGTTTGTCAAGTTTAACATAAAGCACTGATTTAACTTGCTAAGTAAACTGAAAGAAAGTTCTAACTGCCTACCAGTCAAATGTCAGTTAGTTGTGTCTTGCCCTCATTTTGTCTCTCCCCTATAACTGCTGCCCCAGATTCCTTCGTTTGCTGTTTGGCTTCATGCTCCTCTCTTCCTTCCCTCTTTGTTCCCTTCCTGTCTTAACTATTAAGTTTATGAAATGGAAGAGTTAATTGCATGCACTAGTGTTTGGAGGGTGTTGTGGTTTGTCTTTCTAATTAGGTGTATGGCCTATTCACTTTCCTAGAATAAATCTTTAACCTAAATTTGAGTAATCTCCATTTTGGCAACTCCTCTAGCAGTTCGGTAGCCCAGTAAAGGTGGTTTTTAAAAGGTGGGAAGGAGGAGTGGAATTTATTAACATGTTTGCCAAATATATTGAGATTTGGCCTTCGTGAAACACTTTTTCAGTGTTAAATTATCTTTACCTTAAGATTTAGAAATACTTTAGTGTATTATTAATTTTAAGTCCTCTCTTCACATCCCTTTGGAAAACTTGTATTACCATGGATTCAGAAAAAGAACAAAAGGCTTTTCATGGAGAGATAAGATCTCTAGCTATCTAACCCTGTTGAGTTTTTTTTTTCACTTCATTTTTTTCTAGTTTTGCTTCATTACTTATCAGTAGGATAGGGTAAGTTAATTTGCTATGCTGCTAGCATCCTAAGATGATACCTTTGTTGAAATAATTGTGAATAGCATGATTCATTTCTAGCAGAGGCTGAGTTTAGGACAGCAGCTTCCATTGAAAAGTCTTTTCTGTGTCGTGGACAGCATTTTAATGCCCTCTTGGCTCTCATAAACAGCACAGGGACAGATCTGCTACAAACACCCATGCATTTTCCAGAGAGTGCCCTCAAAACAATTTTCTATGCCTCACCTGATGGTGGTTCTTAGTTATTTCCCCCTCACTTGAATTTTATCATTGTTTACTACTAATGTAAAAGCAGCATTGCCAAATAATCCCTAATTTTCCACTAAGAATAATGAAATGATGTTAAGCTTCTTGAAAAGCTTTGGGTAAACCTGTTGTCAGATTAATTTTGATGTGTTTGTTGCTTTCCTTTATCTAGAATGTGGCAGTAGCTTTTTTTATTTTTGACCTTTAATCCTTATTCAATTCAGTCAGTGACTTAAGGTTTGAGAGCTCAACACTGGGATTTTTGGGTAACAGACTAACAGTTTTGTTATTTGCATAATTATAATCGGCATTGTACATAGAAAGGATATGGCTACCTTTTGTTAACTCTGCACTTTCTAAATATCAAAAAAAAAAAAAAGGGAAATGGAGTGTAAGTCAATTTTTGTATCTGTTTGAGTTTTATTTGCTTAATATTAGGGCGTTGCCCCTTTTTCTGTAAGTCTCTTGGGATCCTGTGTAGAAGCTGTTCTCATTAAATACCAAACAGTTAAGTCCATTCTCTGGTACTAGCTACAAATTCGGTTTCATATTCTACTTAACAATTTAAATAAACTGAAATATTTCTAGATGGTCTTCTTCTGTTCATATAAAAACAAAACTTGATTTCCAAATGTGTGGCTTGGTTTTCATTTATTTATAGAATTGAAGATGGAGAATTACTTTGAAAATAATGCAAAATGATTATTAGAGGACAAGTAGGAGGGAAATAATTTTCTAAACCTAGAGAAAACTGGGAAGGCAATTTCAGGAACTACCTTTGGTTAAAAAAAAAATACATTAAAAAATAGACTTATCTCTAGGACACTAAAAAAAAAATTCTGATGTCAAAAGAGATACTACAGTTAGCAATACTAGAATGTACCAAAGGCCAACTACTGCTGAAGTCAGCTGGTTACCCATGGGCACGAAGGCAGGCTTGGAGGCTTGGTATTCTGGAAGATGAACCCTCTTAGCGTTGACTCCTTACTTGAAAAACAAAGTGTTTCCTGTGTGTGTGTGTGTGTGTGTGTGAACTATAGTGTGAAACATTTTTTTAAAATCCTCACCTGAGAATATTTTCCATTGATTGTTGTTACTCCTCACCCAAGGACATTTTTTACATTGCTTTTCAGAGACTAAAAGGGAAGGAGGGAAGAGAGAGAAACATTGATGTGAGAGACACATTGGTTGCCTCCTGTATGCATCCCAACTTGGGGGGCTGGGAGCGAACCCACAACCCGAGTATATGCCCTTGACTAGGAATCAAACCCAAAACACTTTGGTGTATGGGCTGATGCTCTAACCATGGAGCACACGGACTAGGGATCCACTGGTTGTTGTTTTTTAAGAGAGAGAAACAAGAATTGGTTAACTCCCATGTGTGCCCCAACCAGGATAGAACCCAAAACCCATGTAAGCAGGCTAACTGGGAATCAAACCCACAACCTTTTGAAATAATGCTCTGATCAACTAAGCCACCCTTTCAGAGTGAAATATATAGAGTGTGTGTGTGTGTGTGTGTGTGGAAATGTTTAATTCTATATTAAGGCATTATTAGTCCTTAATAAGCAAAGAAAAATATTTGTTAACAGGATTGTCTGTGCTGTATGGGTGATAATGTAGACGTTTTCTCATACTGCAGTGTTTATAAGAATCACCTAGAATGTTTTAAATGCTTCACCATTTCAGCTTCTTCCAACATCTCTGTTTTGTGTGTCTAGGGTGGGGCCTATGATTCTGTTTTTTTAGATTGGTATAGGAAAATAGAACATAGTCTCTATATATAGATATGGACATATATTTCAAAGAGAAACATCAATGATGAAAAAAAAAATCATTGATCGGCTGCCTCCTGCACGTCCCCCCATCTGGGATCCAGCCTGCAACCAGGGCATGTGCCCTTAACTGAGACAAACCCCGGACCCTTCGGCCCATAGGTCTACGCTCTATCCACTGAGCAAACTGGCTAGGGCTCCCCTTAAATGTATGATCTACTTTTTAGGAAGCAAAAGCAATTTATCAGCTAAGCATATACAAGAGCCAACTAGTTGTGATCTAGCTCTTCAGTACTATGGTAAGGAAGAGCAAGTTGAGTTGGGCAAGAGCAGTTGAAAGAATAAACAGCAAGAATGGTTGGGATGGCTTTTGAGGGAGGAGGGACATGAATTGGTTCTTAGTTCTAGATGTTGGTTGGCTAAGGGTAAGGAGGTAAATCAGTCACAAGGGTATGTGAGAAAGCAGAAGTCTAGCTGGATAGTGTGATGGGGGGTGGGAGACCTGTGATGCCTTCAGAGGGGCAACAGCAGCACGTGTGAGGAAAAGTCTTGATGGATTGGAAGAGAAACTGAAGGGTACTAGAGATCACATAGGAGGTTACACAGATTTAAGTAGGACCCATCTAAAATGATGGCAGAGGGCAACACAGGGTTAAAGTTCAAGGGAGTATGTGAAGGGGAAAGACTGTTTCCTACTAAAAGCTCACTAGGTGCTGTGGCACTCTGGTTCTTTGGGTTATGTCGTCAACAACCTGGTGAGGTAGTACCCGATTTACACGATTAACCTGGAATAATTTAAGGTTGCACAGCCAGTTGGTGCTGGAGTTGGGTTTTGGAACCACGCCTGACACCAGAGGCCACTCATATAGTTTCTCAGGGTAAGGTCCTAAGGTTGGTCATAATGATTATAATGGGGGTAATAAACGTGTGCCAGAGCCAACAGCAAGCAGAGGGTAGAATGCAGTCTTATCTAATGTAACCATGTAGCCTGATGGGTGCTCTCTAACAGAGTGATGCCCTTGTGAAGTACTAGGCTCAGTTTACCACTGTTTTTGCTTTAAACCTTCTTACCCCTCCACCTTGAGGATTCTGTTTCCTTCTACTTCATCTTTTGGAAAAAGTAATAAAGGCGGTTGCTTTCCACAATTGTCTTAATTGACGAAATTTTGAGGCGAAATTTGAGCAGGTCTTTGTTGAATGAGTAATAGCAGTGAAATAACTCAAAATATAGGGGGAGAGGGGACGGGACAAGGCAACTGGGTACAGTGTATGCCAGCTTCCCAGATGGGGTTGCGACAGTTTAAGTAAACCAGTGGTATAGTCTGACTCAGTTGAATATGAAGAGCTGTGGAGGGGAGACGAGGGGCCCGAGCTTTTCTGGGACACTGAGTTTAGGTCTGAGATTTCCAGCCTCAAGAT